TATTGATCACTTAATTTAACTCATTTAATTTTTAGATTTTCACAACAGATGTGTTCGATTTATGCCTAACCACAACACATTTATTCGTTTGTGCAAATTTATCAATTGTTCCTCCTGCATTTGGCCCAGACTTTCCACCCAATTGAGCATTAAACACGGCCGACTTGCTAGGAACATAAACCACAAATTCGTTTTATTAACTCACCCGAGCCGCAGAAGACCAAGGCATATAAAACATTTTTATTTCGGTATGCATGAAAATGGGGAAAATGTGTGGTGTGTGTGGGTGGTGGGCTATGGGTGGTAAATATGCAAAGCACCCTGACCTTCGTGACAAAGAGCACGGCGACAAGTCACAACAATTGCCTGGGCCATTCAATAAAAATGTAAATTAACTTATCAATTACAACGCCCAAACAACAATAAACTGCACGGCCATTCGAGGGAGTGGCCTACTCTAGGCACGTGCTTCCAGGACCCCAAAACCCCCCCCAAAAAAAAAAAAAACAAATTTAGTCGAGTCGGGTCCAATCTTGTGGCCACTTCCCCAGCCGGAGTTCCTTTGCTCTCGTAACGGTTTTCTTATGCAAATTGCCCACGCTAAAATATTCCAGGCTCATAATTTTTATTTCCGTTATTCGAGTTTCAAGATTGTATTGCATACTTGTTGGCGCATCGCCCTGCTCTGTCGAGAGCTTTTCCTGCGCCTTTTGGGAAATTTGCCTTGCTAATATGGCCGAAAAGGAGCCCAGTGTCTGCCAGGTTGTCTGGTGACTGCTCTCTTCTTTTTCCCTGGCCAGCTCAGTTCCTGCGGGGCAATCTCCATCTTTTTGTAAAAAAAGTGGAGGAGAGAGAGCTCAGCGTGGGTGGGTCCGAAGATATCGGGGACATAAATGACATAAGTTACGACTGGCAGATCTGATAATATCTTAATTTAGGGAGTGGGCACATGCAAAGTTCAATGTAGCTGGGGGCCACTATCAAGCTAAGTGATTGTAATGGCCGCCCACACAAAACTGGGAAAATTCTAAACAGAATCGAAGGGCTTCCTCTTAAAATAAGAGAGGCCTTTCTACTGCAGATAAAAAAACTCCAAGTGCTTTAAACAACTATCTTCTTGATTTTCTTAAAGTAACTTTAAAATCGATTTTCCCAAAATGTATTATTATTTAAAAAAAAATTTAAGAAATTAAATTCAACATTTTAAGTTCGTTTTTTTATTCAACTTATGACAACAATGATATATTTTAAAAAATGTTTTTTTTAACTAAATGGGTAAAAGTATAAGTATAATTTGTTTTACAAACATTATTTTATTAATCCCAGCAGAATATTTATTACTTTTTCAAACGGATTTATCGATAATACATTTTTAATCACTATTGATGTTTAGAACAACTGATAAAAATATAAAATATGCATAATAAATATAAACCAACAAAATAATTCTAAATTAAGTCATTTATTAGGGTAATATTCCTATTTATGACCTACTTTTACCACAGTTTTTACAGCCGTTTCTCAGTGGACTTTTAACACCTTCATGCAGTCTGGCCGAATGGAATTTTTCTAGCCTGGGCGAGATTTGCTCGTCACTCCAGAGCCTCCCACAGAATTTTCACACACTAGGCGGCTCGTGGAATTACTTCTGCCCCCTCTACCCGCCATAAGCCCCATAATTTTTCCTGGCCAAGTCCAGAATTGAAGCATCACATAATCAGAGGTGGCCACAGAAATGCAGGCGGGCACGGAAGTGGTCAGCAGGCGGTGCCACAATGATTGTGATGAGGGGTTTTGGGTCTGGGTTCGGGGTTTCTAGCTTAGGTTTGGTACGGTCTGGTCATGCAAGGCGCATTTTCGCACTCACACTGCTCACCGTTGCTTTTCCAGCAAGTCAGACAAATTATGACCACGATTTGACTGGGATACTTCGAGGAAAAAGGAGCTGGAGCTCCTACTGCTGGTCAGGCGATAAGCATTTGCGTGATTAATGAAATGTGAGGCCCCCTCCCATTTCGCTGGGGAAAGAGTTGCGAAAGGCAGGCCTTTCCATAAATAAACAATTAGGTCTCGCCACCCGCAACCGACTTGGCATTCTCCCAGTCCAATCCTGACTTACTGGCTCACAATGGGCGGGCTTTTCCGCTTTTCCTGTTGTTTTCCCCCCTTCCTCCCATCTAATTGACTCGCACTCGCCCAATTAGAACTCGTAAGCGAGCACGCTTTGCCCATTTGAATTTATATTGAAATTTAATTTAATTAATATAGCGACTGGAGACAGAGTTGCAGTTTGGAATGGGAGTGGAGTCGGAGTCGGAGTGGAGTCACCCACCAGGTGTTGTATCCATTTCCCATTTTCTCTGGCCTATCGCAGCGGGAAGTGTCAAACAGTCAACTCAATAACTGTTTATTTTAGTTGGCACATTTCCAATTTTGGCCTGGTCTCTCATTGAATTTTGTGTGTGTGTATTGAGTTGAGTCAGTTTGCAATCGGTTTTAACTCTCTTTTTTTGGTTGGCCAACTAGAGCACTTTATAGCCGTATATCGTGGCTTTGGAGTTTGGCAACTCTTTGTCTGCTGGGCCCTGGATTTGCATTTTCTATCTCAATTGGCCGTTTGCATTTCATTAGCCTGATCAATTTGGCTAAGCTCGCAAATTTATGGCAATAAAAGGTGTTAAGAGCTGGGGAATAACTATTCGAATGGTCTTTGATGGGCATAGTTGATATTTTATAAAATAAATATATGAACAAATATTGATAGAATATATATTATTCAAAAGAAAATATGACTATGTTTTAATTTTAAAATTATTATATTTTTGCCTATTTTTATAAAAGTGGCTATTAATATTCCTTGAATCTGGAAAACATTTTCCGAACTTTTCAATTTACAGATAGCTAATTAAAATAAGTAAACATAAAAAATAAGAACTTTTTTTGTAGACTGTTTGCTTTTTTAAGTGGCACACAATAGATCATTTTAATTGCCACGCTGCAAATTCCTGGCATAAATCAGATCATTTCAAAGACATTTTCCGCCCACAAAACCCTCCTACGATCACCGCCCACCTGATGTCGAAGTGATCAATATCCCTGGACATCCATTGCCATCCATAACGAGGCAAACTCCCAGGCTGAAAACGCCTCCGCACCGCCAATCCCATTTTCCGCTTTCCATCCGCCCATTTGCTACCGTTTAGCCAGATTGATTTCGGGCCAGAAGCCGCACGACTCCGCCGATCATTCCTCCCATTTTTCCATGGTCGAGGGGGGAGGGGGGCAAAGGGGGGGGCCGGGCCCATCAATCAATTTCGAGTGCTCGCTGTGAGCGGGAGGCACTCCACTTGCTTTTACCTGCCTCCGAATATCCGAATATCTGAATATCCCAATCCGCGAGGAGGACGCTGCAAAGAGGTTAGGCCTGCGAGCGCTTTTGGTTGTAAAAATTGTTTCGGCATCATTTTTCATATCCGCAACCGAAACAAAATCGAGAAAAAAGAACCTAAAGCCAGAAAACAATATCCAGTCGGCGGCAGGGAAACCGAGTTGCATCCCAACAGCAGGAGCTTCATGGAGTGATGGGAAACCGAAAGCTGAGTTCTGTCACTCGGAGCTGACTTTTAATATGCCCTATAAATTATTAAAATTTATAGGTTTCAGACTAATTACCGTTTTTTAGTGGATGTTTTATTATTTACAGCATTAAAGATCTATACGATTAACAAGAAAAAGAAAACACTACAAAAAACACTTCGTCAGTACCTGTTGATTTATACATAAACAGATCTTTCATTGATAATTATTGACTTTAAATTTTAGATTATAAAATAGTAATACCCTCTTCTAGGGTATTGAACAATGGAAGGGTAGAGGAGGCTTTAGTTTCAGTGGGCAGGGGTGCGTATACGTGATCGCTGCATTTCTTTGGTCTTTCTGCGGCGCTTTGTTTGCGCTGCTATCGACACTCCGCCACTCCACTTCCGCCCCCTCCCCTTTAAGCCTTGTTTGCTCTTGGCAGTGCCGAGTGAAAGAGACAGCTGCGCCGTGACAGAAAGAGACAGATGGAGAGAGAAGGTTTCGCTGTAGCGCGAATTTGTTGCAATTTCTCATTGTCAGCGAACGCGTTCGCCGGTAAATTTTGATTAAACGCTCCCCGGGCATTCACTTTGCCTTGCAGTTTTTTGTTTTTATTTTTTCTGCCGATAGGAGGTGGCATCCCAACCCCCCATCCTCAAACCCACAATCCCGAATCCAAAATCCCAGTTGGTGGCCAACTCTTTCATTTGAATTTGATAAATGGCGCTCGTTGCAAAGCGATATGTTATGCAATTTAGGGATTTCTTTTTGGTTAAAAAATATTGAAGCGATAGCTAAATGTTTGTACAACTCGGAAATAAATGAACTGGCGGGCAAAGAAAAAATGGAAGTGACGAAAGTTTAATCGGCCGCTTGGAAATCAATTTTTCAAGGGTCTAGAAAAGGTGAATTTTCTCTGGGATTCGTGAGAACCAATAGTTACCAATTTAAGTAACTTATCTCGAACCTGTGTCCTTAAGATTAAATCGATTTCACTTAAGCACAAAACCCCATAATAAACCAGCTTAAAAGGGAGCAGGTATAATATAAAATTACAAATTGCAGAGCCTGAACTCGAGGCGACACGACAAACAAGGCCAAATTGATGCCTGGCCGACAAGTGGTAATAATAATTTCGTGCCAATTAATCAGCGTTAAATCAGAGCGTCAACATCACCACCGTCTCCTTTTCCTTATTTTTCCTGTTTTTGTTTTACAAATATTCCGCCAAAGGAGAATCGAATAATTGCAATTCACATTTTACGTAAACAACAATCGATTGAGGGATGGCAACACTGGCAAAAAACGGCAGCCAGCTTTTGGATCCTCATGAACCTGGCCACACTAATCCTTTTCCTAATTATTTCCGGCTGAGAAAGTCACGTGCTCTTTGGTCTGAAGAAATATTTTTGATTAAAAAGTAAGAGTTCTACAAAGAAATAACTATTGTGTTAATATTAGTTTATACCTAGAAATGAAACCGCTGACTGGAAAGAAGAAGGGGGCGTTCTCAAGGGCCACAGAAACGCCAAAGAAAGCTCAAGCTAAGGTGGCCACTCCAGAGGCCGCAGCTCCTGCTAAATCTTCTGCCCCACCAGTGTCTTCTAAGAAAGTAGCCAAAGCTCCAGCCGTGGCTCTGAAGAATCTCGAGTTGGCCAGGAAGGAGTCGGCTATAAAGATCGCCGAAAATGCTGTCTCTTCGGCCAAGAAAGCTGCCGAGACTTCTGGCAAGAAATTGGGTGCGATTTCGGAAACTTCAGCGCCGTTGCATGTTAAGAAGAGGTCTGCACCTCCAACACGTGAGAATGCCAGGAAACCCGCTGCCAAAAAGGTATCCCCAATACAACCGCCCAAGGAGAAATCCCCGCCAGCCCCAAAGCCCGAAAAGAAGGAAGTCGTAGCACCCAAACCGGAACCAGCTCCTGAAACTACAGGAAAAAAGGCTGCTGCCCCGGCTAAACCAAAACCCAAGCCGAAACGCCCGAAGAATGTGCTGCGCGGAAAGAGGATGGCCAAAAAGAAGGTCTGGCAACGCTTCGTCATCGATTGCGACTGCGTGGCCGAGGATTTGATCCTGGATGTCGCCGACTTCGAGAAGTATTTGAAGACCCACATCAAGGTGAAGAACAAGATCAACCAGCTGAACGATCTGGTGACCTTCGAGCGGATCAAGAACTCCTCGCTGGTGATCCACACTGCGGTGCACTTCTCGAAGAGGTACTTCAAGTACTTGGCCAAGCGCTATCTCAAGAAGCACAGCCTGCGCGATTGGGTGCGAGTTGTGTCCACCGGCAAGGAGACCTTCACCATGCGCTACTTCAAGATCCAGGGACAGGATGACGACGACGATGATGACGAACCGGTGGCGAAGACCAAACTCTAGAGTGTATCCTTCTATTAATAGCATGCGTAACATCCTTAAAAAAACCACAATTTTTACTCATTTTCGAGAAATATTGACTTTTCTTAACTTTTACTTTAAAATATTTAACGCACACTATCCAATTTTTACCCCATAAAAAATGTAATACTAATTATTTTTTATTAACACTGTAACCATTAATAAATGATATGCTTGCTAACCAAGTTTCCTTTTAAACTGTTTAGAATACTTTAGAGGTTTAATGTTAACAATATAGAAGACCTTGCCTTTTTAAACCCTTTGTGCTTTCCTGTCTCCTTGAAAAACTAAAGCATTTTATTCTGAACGCAGGTAGTGAGGAACTGTTTCTTCGGTGAGACTGCCTTCTTCGCATTCAGTCTTAACTTTTAACTTGGACGATTGACATTTCAGAGAGGGCCTCGAGTGGTTTTCGTCTTGTTTTGATTGGGAGGAGCCAGTCTTGTTTTCTTTACCTTTTTACGCTTTTGTAAATACCTTAAATTGCCCATTGGTTGGGATTGTTTTCGATGCCAGGCGGCTTAATTGCTTCGCTGTGGGTCTGCCAAATGGCCAAAAGCAGGGAGGGATCGAGGAGGGGGCCTCAGTCAGTCGTCTGTCAGCGTTGGCCGTAGGTGGTCCATAACGAGCTAATGAAATGCGAATCCAACGAAAATGCGACCAACCGAGTGAGTCAGGCAGCTGTCAAAATCGAAATCAACCTGAGCACTTGCAGGTTCGTTCGTACGTTCGTTTCGTTCTCCTCTTGGGGGCCAAAAAGAACACAAAGGCTGGGGCAAAATATTCACGACAGCCGAGGAGGAGAATACAAAGCGAAAATAAACATAAACGTCATGCAAATCGTATGGTAATTGCTGTCATCGCCGGCTCTTGTCAAAACGGGTTGAAGTGTTTTGTAAATGCCAGAAAAAATTAAATTCCAGACATGCAGACGAGTACCAATAATAATAATAATGATAATGTAAAGGGGCTTGCGAGAGACACACGCGATTATTATTTTGTCAAATGGGAAAACGATATCGGGCCGAAACAGAAGGAGCAGCATCTGAACTGGATTTTAAAAAAATCTGACAGCTAATGATTATTAACATTGATGGAACTAACACCTATAAATTATTTCCATATTTACTCCCATTAATAAACATTTTTAGCATGTGTTAATTACCTTTACACCTTTTGTATTTAATTAATAGCAAACATTTTATGGTGTAATAATACCCTTTGATGGGCCCTTTTTTTAATTAAAAGTATTTTTGATATGTGTACCTTGCTTGAACATGAATTACCTCAATAATCAGTGATTAACAAATGTAATAATACCCCTGTCAGATTGACATTCCTTTGAAAGGAAACTCTTTTTGAAATTGATTGCAAACCCTGTTTTTAGTCGCAATCAAGTTGGCTCTTAATTATGCCCCAAACGTCATTCAGTTGCAGAATCTCGTGGAGAATTGACGCAGAATAGACTGTAATCCATTCGGACTCGAAGTTAGTTAATCCCTGTCCCTTGGCTAAGCTAATTAACACATCGATTACAACGTTGCGCGGACAGTGTCGCTTAAAATTGATGGCGCTCGTTAAAATATCTCCCGTGTCTGCGATTACGAGGCCTTCTGGTCTTGACTCCTAGTCCGCCAACTGGTTGGTTCTATTTTTAGGGCCAGTTCCCTCGAGGAGCAGGTGCAGCTGCCTCAGAAGCCGCTGCACTTGGGACCCTTAGATTATTTTCTTGGTCAATGCGAACCAGTTGGTGGAACCCCATAATTATCATCATCATCTGAAGATCACCATCAAGTGTAGGTGACAGATAGCCTCGGTCTGCCAATATCGCTTACTTCCAGACAATGGTTATCCACGCTTCTGGGCCACACAGGTTTTTTTTCCTCAGGCGTTGACACTTTTTTTACCTTAGCAAATATTCGAGGTCGTTGCTCGGACCTTGGTCAAGTTGTTTTTTGCTTTTTTCTGAAGTTGAGATATCACACCCTTCAACTCTTTTTCTTCCAGATCATTTCACTGACACTTTTCAGCTTGAACGCTTCGCGGGGATCTCAACTTTAAAATGTTAGGTGGTAATAGGTAAGTTTATGATTGGAATTCGATATTATATTGGATTATAATTAATTTGTTTATTCCCACAGCTCTCATAGCGATGGCAACATGGTGGGTCTAACCTGTGACGAAGGCTTGATTTTGGCCACCAGTTCGAGGAAGCATCTACTTTACTACTTGGATGATTTCATCTAGTAAGAATATTTATTTATGTACATTTAATAACGTACAATCTTTCTAGATCTCGGGATAAGAAATAATATAATTATTTTATTTTAAAGAAATTTACCATAATATTTTTGAAACTATTTTGAAATATTTTTTTTTATATTTAATCTGTATTTGTAATTTTTAGCTGCTGTGCCCCTCGATCTAACAATTATCGCCATAGAATTCTAGACGTTGGCGCCCAAGTGGATTACCTAACCCGCGATCAGGGACAAAAGGTAACGGTGGCCCAGGTGCGTGATATGTTGTGCCGGAAGTTCAAATTTTCCGAACATGTGGAAATTCTGCTAGCTGGCCATGATTGCTCTGGGCCCCAAATGTACAATTTAAAAGAGTATGGAATATCAAAAAGCGTGCTATACGCAGCAGAGGGCAACGAGGCAGATGACATTGTGTCCTTTTTGGCGGAAAACTGGAGTGAAAACATGGAACTCGTTCAGGCTGAGCAGCTAGCAAGGGATTCTCTCAGATTGGAGGAGAATGACTACGTAGACATGTGTGTCATTTATAAATTTAAAGAAAGGGAGGTTTCAAAGGAGCCCGAGGAGCCTAATAGAGAGCCAGAGGAACCTGAAATGGAACTAGAAGAGCCTGAAAAGGAACCAGAGGAGCCTGAGTCTGACATGGAAACAGAGGCGCCTCAAATGGAACCAGAAATGCCTCACTCGGAATTAGAAGAGCCTGAAAACGAACCAAAGGCTCCTGAAAACGAACCAGAGGAGCCTCAAATGGAACCAGAAATGCCTCACTTGGAATCATCTGAGCCTGAAAACGAACCAGAGAAGCCTGAAATGGAAACAGAGGAGTCTGACATGGAACCAGAGGAGCCTGAAAGCAAACCAGAGGAGTATAATATGGAGCCACAAGACTCTTCCGTTGAAATAATCGAGCCAGAACCAGTATCTCCAATTATTGTTAGCGACGGAGAGGACGAGCCTCATATGGAACCAGAGGAGCCTCCCGTGCCTCAAATAAAGGAAGAGAAGTCTCCCACGGAAACAGAGGAGCCTCACATGGAACCAGATCACTCTGCCGTAGGAGAATTGGAACCAGAACCAGATCGGATGATCATGGGTAGTGATGAGGGGGAAGTGCCTTAACTTATCGTTATAATTAATCGTATCATTCCCTTTTCACGTTCGAAATAAATGAATTGCTGATGCTCGACTGGCTCCCCTGTAATTAGCCGCATTTCTCAGCGTTTTGCAAGTTGGCAAGGAATAGATTAGCCGCTCCTCCCACTGGAAATGGTGCAGCGCAAGCACTGGTGATTTATACGCCTTCACCCTCGGCTGGGATAATTAATAATGATTAAAAGCTGGCGCCCATCAACGGGCAGGCAGCTTTGAATCCTAGCAAGCGCTATATGTATAGCTCTATATAGATCCCCACTAACCAGATCCGCTCGCTTGCCTCCAGGGGACTGACGTCCAGCTGTGCGGATTAACTTGAATTTATATGTTGTGGCTGCATTTGAATAATTTCATATTCGAGCTGGGAATCGGGAACTCTATCTGCCATTCTCTGTGCGTGACCAGGCTTCATTTGCTGCTCCTCCTCCGACGACCAGTTGTGTGGTCTCCCTCCATTCCCATTGACAGCTCCTGGGTGGCATTATGCTGTCTGCTCCGGATTTTCACTTTTCTGGCCTGCAAACCGGCAGTTGCTAATTGATTTCTACGTAGATTGGACTGATTGTTAATCGGTTGCTCGGCCAGTTAAGTGGATCTCAAAAGGATATGATTTAGGAGCGGCAGTGTGTAGGGCTGAAATGGGAAAATGATAGCATGAATAGTTATTAAAGCTTTTATTTATTTTTTCCTTCCTAAAATTAAGTAAATTATTTACTAAATTAATTTCAATTTTATTAAATGAGTTTTGAATATTAGGTTTATATTATTCCGAGTTAAGTGGTATACTTAAGTTCATTAATTTAATTAGTTGAAGTGCATAGCTGCAAATAAAACAGTATATAAATTCCTAAATAGACCTGAAATATGATTATGTTTTTAAAAATATTTTATTTTGTTTTTACTCTTATGAGTTGCATTTAACACACTTTTCTCATTGAATTTCTCCAACCTTATAGCACATCTGTTGCACAATTCCTCCACCATAAATTCCAATATTTTGGCAGACTCGAGCTTCGCTTTCTGTTGATAAGCAAATATTTCAGCGGCATTTCACTCTTATTCCTTTACATTTTTTTCCCCATTTTTTCGTATTTCAACTCCGATCCGAAAGTGCAATGTCTGCCAAAAATAAAATGTCAATGCCAAGGCGATAAGAGAAGAAGGATGAGGCGAAAACAAAATCAAACATCAAATATTCCCAATAAATTAAATGCGGCCAGTTCCGAGAAGGACCCATCCTTCTCTCTCACTGGCGGCATTCAATAATATTTCACTTTCAATCTGCTGAAAGGTGCGAGGAGGCTGGGCCAAGGGGTTTTCGGGGGTACCTCTGAATACGAAATCGAGTGGTGCTACCTTGTGATATCTTTATTTACCCCACCCCAGTGCATACAAAAAAAATACATAAAAAAAAGAGTGAGGTGCACAAAAATGCAGACAGTGTCACCTTTCGGCGGCTCGAGGTGGAAATATATTTATGTGGCATGCAAGTTGCAAGGTGTGACAACATGAAAATTTATCTGCACCATCTCTGCAACACCTTCATCGCCTGACCTCCTCCCGCATCCCAAAATATACAT